AAAACATGGTCAAAATTATTACTATTTCTCTGGCTGTTGGCAGTATTGTCTGATTTACGAAGTGATAAAAAACACCCTCGGCCAAAACTTATGTCAGCAAAATGAAACCAATCCCAAACCTGCCTTCCAGACTGATGTTCTGCATGTTTATACATATGTAAACAACTACTTGTAATGCAAAAATATTGATAATCGTGTGCATGTTAATGTCTGAATTATTTTGGGATGGATGCTATCGATTACACTTATCAAGAAATCAGTTTTTGTCCTACTTCGTTACTAAACAGTGAATAAACTGTGATAAAACAAAGTGAATATGAGCACTTCTAGTTTGTAGGTCACTTTAAAAAAAATGAATGTGACGGGAACTTTTATTTCTCCTTTGTGTATGTTGTTGGGTTTGAGCTTGAGCGCGTGTTTGTGGTTTCATTATAAACCCACGTAATCATAACGTCATTCTCATGTGGCTCTGAAATGACATTTAGATGACCTTTCAAATAAGTTTGGGGAGATTTATCATTGCATGTTTAAGAAAAACTGATTAAATAGCCTTTTTGACCTTAAAAGGTTTTCAATATGGACCATTTTAAATCAAAAAGTATTAAAATCTAAATATATTTCATTAAAAAGCACATATATAGTGATTTTATTTGGTTAATTTTATGTTCATAAAAACAGGACTAATTCTAGACCTGGATTAAAGGTTTTATATGGTTGAAAGGCTTCAGTTGTATTTGTTTTAAAATAGCGCAAACTTATGCAAATAACCTAATATATTGATTCTCTGCTTGGATTAGTGTCTAAAATTATAGCCTTGACACTTTAATTAAAGCTAATTAAACAAACAAGTGAGAATACAATTGCAAACGTTTTATTACAAAAAAGAAGCAAAATCAAAAAGTATTAAAATCTAAATATATTCAATTAAAAAGTGTATAGAGTGACTTTATTTGATTTATTTCATGTTTATAAAAATATAGGACTAATTCTAGACCTGATTAAAGGTTTTATATGGTTGAAAAGCTTCAGCTGTGTTTGTTTAAGCGAGTGAAAGTTAATTAGAAGTAAACTTATATGCTGCCATTTGAATACTGACATTTGTTTGCATTTTTTCCGGTTTATTCTTGTCCGATTGCATTTGTGTGTTGCGTAAAACTGACAAGGGTAGGCCTATGTTTCTGTTTTGTAGTAAAATTGCATAAACATATACAGCCTAATATATTGATTCTCTGCTTGATTAAAGTCTAAGATTATGTAAGACCTGACACTTAAATTAAAGCTAATTAAATAAACAAATCAGGATACAATTGCAAACGTTTTATTACAAAAATGAAGCAAAATCAAAAAGTATTAAAATCAAAATATATTCAATTAAAAAGTGTATATAGTGATTTTATTTTGTTGATTTCATGTTTATAAAAATATAGGACTAATTCTAGACCTGATTAAAGGTTTTATATGGTTGAAAAGCTTCCGTTGTTTTTGCTAAAGACAGTGAAAGTTAATTAGAAGTAAACTTATACGCTGTTGTTTAAATGTTGACATTTGTTTGCATTTTCCTGTTTATTCGTGTCCAGTTGCATTTGTGTGTGTGTTGCGTAAAACTGACAAGGGTAGGCCTATGTTTCTGTTTTGTTGTAAAATAGCGCAAACATAAATGCAAATAGCCTAATATATTGATTCTCTGCTTGGATTAGTGTCTAAGATTATGACAGTTAAGACCTGACACTTTAATTAAAGTTAATTAAATAAATCAGGATACAATTGCAAACGTTTTATTACAAAAATGAAGCAAAATCAAAAAGTATTAAAATCAAAATATATTCAATTAAAAAGTGTTTATATATATATTGTTATTTTATTTGGTTAATTTCATATTTATAAAAATATAGGACTAATTCTGGACCTGATTAAAGGCTTTTTTTATGGTTAAAGGCTTCAGCTGTATTTGTTAAAAAATAGCACAAACATGCAAATAGCCTAATATATTGATTGTCTGCTTGGAATAGTAAAATTATAGATCTGACACTTTAAAGTTAATTAAATAAACAAATCAGAATACAATTGCAAACATTTTATTACAAAAATGGAGCAAAATCAAAAAGTATTTTAATATAATTTAGTATATCTTAGTATAATTAAAAAGTGTATATTTATAGGGATTTTATTTTGTTGATTTCATGTTTATAAAAATCTAGGACAAATTCTAGACCTGATTAAAGGTTTTTTATGGTTGAAAAGCTTCAGCTGTGTTTGTTTAAGCGAGTGAAAGTTAATTAGAAGTAAACTTATATGCTGCCATTTGAATACTGACATTTGTTTGCATTTTTTCCTGTTTATTCGTGTCCAGTTGCATTTGTGTGTTGCGTAAAACTGACAAGTGTAGGCCTATGTTTCTGTTTTGTAGAAAAATGGCACAAACATATACAGCCTAATATATCGATTCTCTGCTTGTGTCTATGATTATGTAAGAGACTTGACACTTTAATTAAATCAGAATACAATTGCAAACATTTTATTACAAAAATGGAGCAAAATCAAAAAGTATTTTAATATAACTTTAGTATAATTTAGTATATTTCAGTAAAATTAAAAAGTGTATATTTATAGTGATTTTATTTTGTTGATTTCATGTTTATAAAAATATAGGACTAATTCTAGACCTGATTAAAGGTTTTATAAGGTTGAAAAGCTTCAGTTGTTTTTAGTAAAGTTAATTAGAAGTAACCTTATATGCTGTTGTTTGAATGTTGACATTTGTTTGCATTTGTGGCGCAAGCATATAGCCTAACATATCGATTCATTGCTTGGATTAGTGTCTAAATTATAGACTTGACACTTTAATTAAAGTAAATTAAATAAACAAATCAGAGTACATTGCAAACGTTTTATTACAAACCACAGCGTGACCAAAAACCCCAGTGAAACCGGCGAGAAAGTTCCATGAACCCGTTAAACCTTCAGTCCGGGAACAAGCAGAGTCCTCCAGCGTCATCTAGCGGTGAGATGGGAATCTTTACAGTTCAAACGAGCAGGAAATAATATCGTGACACCTGAGAAGAGCCTCTTTCTGCACGCCGAGCGGAGTCTCCAGATCGGACACCTGAAAATTCAGCACATCGATGTCTGAGGCGCCGAACCGACCGCGCATGCGCAGCTTCTCCAGCAGCTGAAAGTCGACGCGTTTGTCCGTCATGAGGAGGAGAGTCCGCAGAAAATGCTCGCGCTGCTCCGCCCGCAGCCGCTGCTCTTCAACGTCCACAGAGGAGGATGAAGATGAGGAGGTCAGAGATGTGGGGCAGAGAGCCTGGAAACGAGGAGAATTTGGGTCAAACCCTCGACTGTTTGGCTCCGGTCCTCTTGGCAGCCTGAGAACACCGACTGGAGTCTTCATTTTGCTTGGTTGCTATGAGATTGTACTCCTAAAAATCATGGTGAAAATTAATTAGTACTATTTTTCTGGCTGTTGGCCATATATATATATATATATATATATATATATATATATATATATATATATATATATATATATATATATATATATATATATATATATATATATATATATATATATATATATATATATATATATATATATATATATATATATATATATATATATATATATATATATATATATATATATATATATATATATATATATATAT